CCCCCCCCCCCCCCCCCCCAAACACATGAAGTGACCGACCTCACAAAAATTGTTAAATGTTTAATGTTCATAAACTTCTATACATGTTTGGTCTGCACGTTAACAGTTCACTTTGAACTAATATTCTATATTTTAAAAAAAATACGTGTGCTACATATGATGTGGCGTGATATGATTGGATCAGAATTTATTCAACCAAAAACAATACGTTATCCACTCTGTTATGGACACATCATCTATTTGTAAAACTTTCTGAAACTTCTTATCTACGAGTAGCGTTATTCAAAAAGGGAAAAAATATATCCATTAAGAGTTCTAACCAAATTAGGAATTTAATTATCATTGTACTTTAGCCAAATTAGGATTTTTTATTATTATCCTACTTGGGCAATGTTTAATGGAGATCAATCGCTATAAATACTACCATGCTTAGTATATTATGAGACAATCTTTCATTGGGTGGACGTAGCCATTGTCAAACAAGGTAAAATTCTTGTGTCTCTTTCTTATTGCTATTTTAATTTTACGATATTCATTTTTCGAAAATATGGGGATATTATGGTCCTCAAATTGTCAAATATCATGTTGTAATTCTATTCGAGTCGAGTTTGAAACCCAACATTAAATTTTTCGAGGTGTCTTCTACTAAAATTTTAATGAATTTTGTGGATTTGAATGGACTTTTACAAATTTCATAATAATCTCATTAAAAATGGTGAAATTTCAAAAAAATGTTGGATTTCATTAAAATCTTTGTTGGATACACCTAATGAATTTCATTTAAATCTTAATTATAAATTTAGAAGGATATTTAAATTTCATCGAAAGGTCAAATTTTGTTAGCCCATAAATGTTTTTCCAATAAGTTCGGAAGTTTTTATGAACAATATTAACTTTCACAAACCCTAAAAAGCACCATAAAAAGTGGTATTCCAATGGATCAGAATCCTTAAATGAAAACTAGGAAATCGTATTAACAGTGTACAAACAAAAATCAGAGGACATCCTTCGAGTAAATATTGTACGTACATTCAAGAAAATCTGTATGCATATATTGGTTTCTTTGACATCTGTTTATTTTTATCGTTCTGTGGTTGCAAGATTCTCTCAGTTTCTTGATTTTTTTCATAGTCCTCTTTGAAATCTTGCTTTCAGGGGGAAAAAATGGCTTTTGATGAACCACAGAACGATGAGAGAACCGCAGAGCAAAAGGCAATTGATGATTGGCTTCCGATCACTTCTTCTCGGAATGCGAAATGGTGGTATTCGACTTTTCACAACGTCACCGCCATGGTCGGCGCCGGTGTCCTCAGCCTCCCGTACGCCATGTCGGAACTTGGATGGTATATCATCTCTTCGTCTTCCATGCATCGGAACTTTATATATTGGATTTATTATTATTATTTTTTTCTTACGAATCTTACGAAAAAAAAATGTGTATTAGGATTCATGATATTGGATTTGATGAAGTTTTACGCTCACTCACAATTTACCGAAACCCTAATGAGAAACGTAGTCGGAGTTTTACGAGTCTTTCCTGGGGTGAGCATCGAGTGGTTCGGTCGTGATATCTTGAGAACCTGGCCGAACCAATCACTACTTGCAATTTGGTTGGTAACATTGGTTCTAAAGGGAAAAAATGAACCGACCTCGACTTCAACCAAACGGTCTATGTTCGTAAAACTCTTAATTAATCTCAATGCATATGAATTTATATAAATCACGATTTAATTAAAAATATATTTTAGGATCGAATCAAAAATTGGTTTTGTAGCTAGAACAAGTACTCATATGAGAACCTGATTTTTACTTGAATTGGACTGAACCGACTAGTTTGGTTCAGTTCTGATTTAGGTAAGGAGGTTTCGGATAAAAATGTCCACCCCTTCGTAAAACTAAGCAATCTTTCATCTCCCTGCATTAGAAAATTTTCATTCAAGTACCAAACTTGGATGCTGTTTTCGATGCAGTAATGAACTGGACAAAATCTCGAACAAGGATTCGCATAGTCGATTCCAAATGTATTAAGAACAAGACATTGTTATTGCTATTGTCAGATGCATCTTTTAGAACTAAACAATTTCTATCCCTTTGATTTGCAGGGGACCTGGAATTACAATTCTGATCCTTTCATGGCTCATCACCTTCTACACATTATGGCAAATGGTTGAAATGCACGAAATGGTTCCTGGTAAGAGGTTCGACAGGTACCACGAACTAGGCCAACACGCCTTTGGTGAAAAGCTCGGGCTTTGGATCGTTGTACCTCAACAGATTGTCGTTGAAGTCAGTACTTGCATAGTTTACATGGTTACTGGAGGAAAATCTCTGAAAAAATTCCATGAAACAGTCTGTCCAAGTTGCAAGGAGATCAGACTCACCCTTTTCATCTTGATCTTTGCATCTGTTCACTTTGTGCTATCCCATCTGCCTAATTTCAACTCGATTTCAGTCGTTTCCTTTTCTGCAGCAGTGATGTCCCTAACGTAAAAATCCTTGAATTCTTCTTTATGATGATGTTTTATGTTGGGATTCTATTTGTTCTGGATAGCATCATTCCCAAAAGTCCTAAAGGCCTAAATGGTGGTTGTTTTAACATAATGCTATTTGTGTTGGATAGCATCATCCTCAAAAAGTGCGTCCACAAGACTCGAACCATCACCACTCTGTATAATGAGTTTCTGAGTGCATCCTCGTACCACACTCAAGAACCCATTATACAAGTGGTGACTTTTCAAGTCCCAGATACGTTACTTTGAAGAATGATAGTACCCAACGCCCAAAGGGTGGTTGTTTTGACATAACACTATTTGTCATGGATAGCATCGTCCCCAAAAAGTGACGTCCACAAGACTCGAACCATCACCACTTTGTATAATGAGTTTCTGAGTGCGTCCTCATACCAAACTCAAGAAACTAATTATAAGTTTGGTGACTTTACAAGTCCCAATGACGTGACTTTGGAGAACGATAATACCCAAGGCCTAAAGGATGGTTGTTTTGACATAAATTTTACTACTAAGTTTTCCCTTTCAATTGCAGTTATTCGGTTATTGCTTGGGGGGCTTCGCTCGCTAAGGGACCTACGGCAAACGTGAGCTATGGCCCACGAGCCTCTACTACATCTGGGAGTGTATTCAACTTCTTCAATGCATTGGGTGATGTGGCTTTTGCCTATGCTGGACACAATGTGGCGTTAGAAATTCAGGCAACAATTCCTTCAACTCCTGAGAAACCTTCAAAAGGGCCTATGTGGAAAGGAGTAATATTTGCATATATTATTGTTGCCATTTGTTATTTCCCAGTTGCATTCATTGGATATCACACATTTGGGAATACAGTAGATGATAATGTTCTTCTCTCACTTGAAAAACCCAACTGGCTTATTGCAATGGCAAACATGTTTGTGGTTATTCATGTCATTGGAAGTTATCAGGTGATGTTTTTCTCGAAAATTTCTTGTTCCTGTTTATTCGCCGAGATATATTTTTTTCGTGTTTATTCATCTTTAGTTTTTCGAAAACTCAGATATATGCCATGCCGGTGTTTGACATGATGGAGACTTGTCTGATAAAGCAATACAAGTTTAAGCCTTCAACCAAGCTTCGGTTCACTACTCGTACCTTATTTGTTGGTAAGAACGTCGTCTCTTGACATAGGATAGATTGAATAGACTCGTCTGTTTCGCGAAAAAGGATTTATGGATTCTTGTTTACTTCACCCTGCAGGAATTACAATGTTCATTGGCATGACATTCCCATTTTTTGGTGGTCTACTTGGATTCTTTGGTGGTTTTGCTTTGGCACCAACAACATACTATGTAAGTGCTTAGTTTTTTCCTTTTCGTGTTTACGAGTCGAGCTTTCTCATACCTCGAATGTCGGACCCTTTTGACACCTCTACTTTTCTTGCTTATACACAGCTACCCTGCATCATGTGGCTCATTATCAAAAAACCCAAAAGATTCAGCTTCTCTTGGTGGATAAATTGGGTATGTTACATCAAATTATCATACATAATTCCATTTTTCTTCCTTAAAGACTGATAATATTTATTTTGAATTCTCGAATTTCAGTCCTTCATCGTCGTAGGGGTTCTATTGATGATTCTTGCACCCATTGGTGGATTGAGGAACATAATTTTGTCTGCTAGCAACTACAAATTCTACCAATGAGGCTTTATATTTGAAGATTTAGGCTCGATTTCGCAGCATTTTAAGGCGGTCTTGTCATTATGTTCGATCTATGGTTACACCATGGCGTGACAACATTAATAAATCGTACCAAATATTTCGTAGCCTCTGCAAGTTCTCCGTACACAAATAATAGAAATGTTGGAGGCCTTGGTGTCTTTATAATAAGGTAGTGTTAGTAGTGTGAAGAAACTTAAGTTAAAATATTAATTAGATTATTTGTTTAGATTGTTGCAGATGTTCCTTTTTCCTCATGACATTGTTAATTGTTGCACTTTTAGTCAACTTGTTCTGTGTTTTTCCCTTAAAAACTATGTGGCATCCTAAGCAAGAATTAATCGATCAGTATTTGATCTAAGAAGATGATCAAGTGCACTTAGATTTGGATGGTCCAGACACGTACATGAAACAATAAACGAAGGCTTACTGGACAATGCTGAGCGAAGGTTGGCCACGGCCACTGCAGCTAAGTGAGCGACCCGAAGAATAAGCATTGGCTACGTTCGAAAAAACAAAATTATCTTGATTCATGATCTCTTTTCCTTATTTGATATTCGAAATACCAACTTAAGTAACTTTGTGTATATATAGAATAATTCTTCTTTTCTTTGTTGTTTAGTACATTGTCCGATTTAGCCTTGTGGCCTGTAGCAAACCATTCAATTTGGTTACGAAAATGACCATTTTCCACTTGCCATCCACGTCCTCGATTTAGTCCAGTTTGATTTTGCTTAAAAAGTGAATAAAAATTCTAAGTCAAAGTCAACATTAATTTTAAACACACATTTAGTAAGACTCGTGACTTTTATCAATTTCTTAACCACACATTTCAATTTTTTTTAATCAAAATCTACTAAAAATGTAATCATCGGCAAAGTTAGAATTGAATGAGAAAACAAATAGTTGAAAAATGCCCAGATTCAAGATACTACATGTCATCACTGTAAAAATATTCATTGCAGCAGCAAAGAGAATTGTATAAACCTCACTTAATAAAGCTTAATGTTAGAATAAATCATATCAAAATTCGCGTTACCACTACTTTATTTCAAGTCAAGAACTGCGTACAAATAGAAATCAAGTTTGGTTTTTTACATCACCATACCTCCATCAATGGTAAATACCTGCGTGCAACGACAAACAGTTAAGAAGGGAAGGAAAAATTCCGAGCCATTTAGAACTAAGTTGACAGGGGTGAGGAGAGTGCGAGTGCTGTCAAGTCCACAAGATTTTAGTTAAAAGTCGCATATTAGGATGTGTTTGGTAGAACGGAAAGAAGGTTTAAAGGAAGGTGGGGCGGAAAATACCAATTTCCATCCTCGTACGGGTTGAAAGCAAAATTTCTCTCGTATTTGGTGTGATGGAAGGAAAATAGATAACAAATAATTGTTTCAGGTCTTATTTCTCCAACATTTTAACAATGGGAAACTAATTTCCTTCCTCATTTTCCTTCCTACCAAATTTTCTGCTCCTACGGAACATGGCATTGCCTAATTGAACTTGTGGATATTATAGCTTCTTTTGACAATGATAAGTACGTCATGACAAAAAGGAACTCAAGAGACAGTAATGTTTCAAAAACCTGTCCAGTGATGTAACTGGCGGCAGGATTAAGGGCCAAGAATTCCACAAGTCCAGCAACTTCTTCAGGTTGACCATACCTTCCTGAATCAAGAAACAGTCTATTCAGTATAATGGTCAAATATCAATACATGATATACAATCTAACACGAGCCAGATAAAATAGCCAAGTAGATTGTATTGAAAGGTAACTTGGATGTGGAACTTAGTTGTCAGTCCACAACTAACAAGTAACAACCATTCGGATAATTTGACTAATCAATTCTGATATATTAATGTTAACCGCAATTTTGTGGATGTCAACCGAGGAAACGGGAAGCCAAATGGATGGATTGAGTTATGTGTGATCAAATAGATAAATAACTCACCCAATGGAATAGTCTCCAAAATCTTTTTCTCAATGTCTGCCCCAAGCTTAGCAGTCATATCAGATGCAATGAACCCAGGAGCAACGGCATTTACCTGTCAATTGAAGCCTCAATTAAATTTAACTTCCACAAACTAAAATATTTGTAGATTAACAACTTTTGAAACCCTCACATTAATATTCCTGCTCGAATATTCCTTGGCAACTGACTTTGTAAAGCCAATTACGCCAGCTTTTGCTGCACTGTAATTGGCTTGCCCAACATTGCCAACGAGACCAACAACTGATGCTATATTGATAATCCTTCCCTGCAATATAAGTTGACCATTTATATTAGTCTTAAGACCAAGACAATATAACAAACTTACCCAGATCTTCAGGTCTACATATAAATTCCAAACCTGAGTCTAGAGAATTCTGCATTCATAATTAGTTAAGACGATTGAATAGTTGAACTTTGTGATTTAAGGAAAAGGAAAATTTGGTAATCCCCAACCTTTGAGGTAGTCTCAATACAAGTCCCAACATTCAAAAAGGAGGTTCTGGGTCCTCAACCCATGTAACTCTGTGAAGAAAGAAATAAAAACAAAAAAAGAATCTGCCAAACAAAAAAATAAATCTCTTCTTCCTCAACCAACCAACCCACCCAACCACCACCACCACCAGCCAGCCTATTTCCCCACCAGAAGCACTCCCACAGTAGCCTTAGAAATCAGGACCCAAGATGCTAAAACCTTTTCACAGTATCATTACAAGCATGTGTTCTGTTCCTCTACTCATACAAAGAAGACCAAGTTTGGCATGTTGATAATCACCAAATTAATCTTCTCTTCACAACTCGTCAGCTTATGATTTTCTCTAGCTAGATAATGGACAAAATTGGATACAGTTTGGAACTTAAAATATTGGATCAAGTCATGAAATTGAGATTTCTAACCAATGCGCTTATCGGCCCTAGACCCCTTAATTAGATTTGGACCTTTGTTATTGGGTAATAAAATTGGCCTCAACTTTTGACCTAAAAAAGATTGTTGACTTGAAATCGCAAGGAATCAGAAATCTATTGAAATAATGCAGGGATCCTCCACGGGATATACTCTTAGCTATATGCAGGCATTTAGCCTATTAGGAGATTTTCCAAGGAAGATATGAGAAACATTATCTGTTGCCTAGCAAGGCGGGATGGTGGCAAAAGGGGTGGGGGGGGGGTGGGGGGGAGGAATACTTTTATATTGTTTTTCCTTTCAAGATTTATTTAAAGTGAGGGTATAATCATCATTTTAACATCAAAATTCATGGAGTTACATAAGTTGGGGACCCGTATCCACACTATGCCCCCGTTTGGTGCACATTTTGAAGGTAAGAATGCATTTTTACTATTGATGTGATGGGAAATATGTGGTTGAAAAAGAAGGAAAAGTTATTGATGTGATAGAAAATATTATTTTATTGAAAAATGTGTAGTCGAAAATGAGTAGAAGAATGAGAATGAAAAAAATAATGTGGACCAAACGGGGCCTATATAATGTTGGGGATTCAGGCCCTAATTTTCCCAAAAGGAACCCCCCCAGGAAAAATAAAAAAAATGCTGGAGTTGGCCTGTGACCTAGCGGCCTAGCCTAAGACCAAGTTTGGCTAAGCTTAAAAAAAAAAAAAAAAGGTTACTTTTTAGTCACTTTATGTTTCCAAATATTTATTACTTACAAGTGCACAACGTTTATTATTTTAAAGTAAGTCACCGTCTAAATTAGTAACGTGCTAACTTCGAATTTTCATCAATCAAAAGATTGATTTATTTTAAAACTTACTTGTGGTCAACAGTTTAAGCTTAAAAATGCTCTAACTAGCTCTACAATAACAGAAAACAAGATGGGACTACCTTTTTCTTCTTCATCATTAGTTTGGCAGCTGCCTGCAGAGAATAAAGATCTCATATCAAATTATATGAATTTAACTATCTGTATCTTCATATAGGTAGAGTTTTTTAAAAACTCGCCTGTGTGCACAAGAACACCCCAGTAAGATTTAGATCAATAACCTCCTGCCACTGAGATTTCTTCATTCTCATCAATAAACCATCCCTTGTAATACCTGAAACCAATTAAATTTTTAAAAGACCACGAACTTGAAAACTAGATATGCCGCCATACAAAGTTGCACTTTTGGAACCTGCATTGTTAATCAAAACATCTACAGTTCCCCATGCATCGACTGCCTGCACGTCCCAATAACATAAGATTAACACAGTGACATGACGTGTGATACAAAAACTAAAAAAGAAGAGATCTAGAGTGATTGTTTACAGTTTTAATCATTGACTCCACATCTGCTTCTTTTGAAACATCCCCGCCAAAAGTAAGAGCTTGTCCACCAAATGCCTCAATCTGCAAGTAGTATAGTAGACAATTCTCAATTACTTTCCATGTTAACAATAATACAAAGACACAGTGTTTATTGGTAGTTAAAAACATATCGCTAAATGCTGATAAGGTTATTGATGCATTAATTTTTGTTTTCTTTGTTGCTTTTCCCATTTTCGTTTTTCGCTCTCCAAAATTAGTCTTGTTGCTTAGACTTGAGCAGAGGCTTTGGACACAAGTGGGATCTAAATGTCAGACGTGAGGATTTGGTCAAACTTATTTCATATATGGTAGGGGACATATCACTTGTAATAGTAGTAGCTGAAATTGGAGGCTCCAAAGATGTTTTACACAAATAGATAATTAGAAAATAGTCAGAGTAATGCATTTTTAAGAAAGAATATATATTTATCAAAGACTCTTAAAAAAAAAAGATGAAGGAGAATTACAGTAGTAGAATAGCATTTAGGAATTGTATCAGGTGTTAGAAAGTCACATATATTTCCGAAAGAGTCAAGTCACATATAATGTGTCACGTTATCAAGTGTTGGGAGTGTCACATATGTTACAAATCACAAATTTGTGTCACGTCGGATGCATGAACATCCATAATTCAAGTGTTTGAGCAGCATAGAGTAATAATTGCTCTATATAGGAATTTTTCAATCAGGAAAGCTCAAGTAAAATAGTAAACGGAAGGAATTGGCATATTTATCTAAAAGTATCTACAGAATTTTGACAAGAACTCTAGCAAGCAATGCACGAAATGAACGTCTAAATAAATATTATAGTACAATACTCATAGTTTCATTGTTAATTCATATCAGTTGCACTACCTCTTTGCATACATCTTCTGCCTCCTTTGATGACCTTGCATAATTCACCAGAACCTGAAATAGAATCAAAATCATCTTTTGCAAAAGGAAAGGTAAAGTGCAACCCATTACACTATTATTGCACAACGTGGTGATAAAGGTTGGATAGAACAACAAATGGTATGTGCCCATGGATTAAGTTCTAGCCTATAGCGACTACTTGTTGGTCCATAGTGTTGTATATGGTGATTATATAAGTTCACTACTTTATTAAACTAAAGGGGATTACAAAACATCAAAGGAGTCTTCAGAGACTGCAATAATGGACAAAACCATAAAAAGATTTAACAAGACAACCCTTAAGTCATTTTACAAATAGTTATAGAACATAAGAACATCGAATAATATTGACAGTACTCATCTTATCTTTAAGAACTGCATTGTTATATGAGCAACAGGTGCCATTCAAATCAAACACTAAAAAACTATTATGCCCATAATTGCACATTGTAAGGCCTACATAGTGTATATTCTAAATGGAACCCTTGATTGCTGATAAGATTCAGAATAGACCTTACAACCAGCCTTCCCCAGAGCCAAAGCAATTGCTTTGCCAATTCCTCGGGAGGCTCCTGTGATAATAACGACAGGAGCATCTGCTTTTTGCACTGCTTCGGCGATTGGTTGTTCAATGGTTGCAACCTGTGCTCTCACACCTGCACATACCAATAAATTAAAAATAGAAGCCATACCAAAAGGCAGATGAGCCACAAAAAAAGCAAATTGTGTCATATTAAACTAATCAAAGTTGTTTAAATCTATGACTTGAAAGTAGTTTCAAGTACTATTAAGGTATATTAGTTTAAAAAAGGAAAATTTTTGAGTCTGTTATATGCACAGATATGATTCGTTCAAATACACAGTGAAATTTTCAGTCATCAGATACAAGAATAAGAATACAAGGGATATTCATACAGATAAAGTATGAACGAAAACAAAAGGTTCGGGGTCAGAATACATCTTATGTAGGAGTTACTTTTAGATGCATTAATATGTAAATCACAACCTTCATATTATTTGTATCATGATCAAGAATTTCGTGGATAACAGAGATTGAACTCGTTTATAACACATTTTGGATAAAATCTAGAGTGTTGCTTGTATCTTTCTGATAATTTTTCCTTCCAGGATTTTCACCATTATGAAGAAGCATGAGATGCTTTTGGTAAGATTTAAGTATTTAGGAAAAAGAATAGTGTAAAGAATGTTGAATTAAATGGTTTATAATCACATGTAAACATCTAAAATGTAGATAAATAATGAACAAAGAACGAGAATTTATACGTCAGAATATTTAAATCCCAAGAATACTGATGAAAAGCTTAAATGTAACCAAATGAAGTATTAATCATCACGAATAATCAATTGTGCAAGCTACATAATACATGACTATGAGAATAATGCAAGTATTTACTAGCTAATCACAGCGAAAATTTTACTAAAATAAACTGGCCTTTCACAGATTTAACATGAGGCATATCAAGACTTTTTTTTTTCCTTTTCCACCAGCATTAGATTTTAGTTACTAATTAATTAATTGGAATAAACCCCAACTTATACAGCAGAAATGTTCCATCTTCCAGTTACAGGCACTTTTATACGTCTGGAACAATTACGAGCAAGTTTGAAACTCTTAAATACCTGAGGAAGAGAAAGAGGTAAGTGGTCTGCATTGCAAGTTAAGGGAGCGTGGGAGTTGAATCTGAGACGATAATTGCCCGAGATGAGACATCTTCCGGCAGGTTTTATCGGAAAATGCGGCAGAATTGAAGGCGACGGCAGCTGATCCAGCGACGGAGGAAGCCATATTGAGTCTCGAGCGTATCGAAAATTGAAGAAAACGAGAGGAAATGAGAGTCGCCACAGGGAAGATACAGAGAAAATGGTTCGTAAAAATTGAACTGTTATGAGTCAAAAAAAAATTGCTTTGGAATCTCCGGAGGCTCACGAGGAAACAGTGGACCGGCCAACCAGTTTTACAAAAAAAAAAAAAAGGATAAAAATCTGAAAATTTAAATAAAATACCCTACTCAAAGAGAAAAAGAGAAAAGAAAAATGAGAGAAAAAACGTTTTTTTTTTAATCTCTCGAATTCAACCAGACACCGACGACTCAGATCGGACCCACATTGATCATTGTCGAACTCAAATGTTAGCTTTGTTCCATTTTGTAGTTAACTTTTAATTGAATAAATCAATTATTTTTGTGTCCATGTTCTCCGTTGAGATATTTTCATGTGATTAATGTGTATAGTGGCTTATAGTTGTGTAGATATATATGATTTTAAAGTTTTTAGGGACGAAGATGGTCGAAAATGACAATCTCCGCCATTTGCAACGCCGCCTAAGTCGCGTAGGATGTGTCGCCTGGAATCCAATCAACAGCTGGCATAGTTGATTGAGCTGACTGCATTTTAGATAAACCAGTCCATAAGGCCTAGTTAACTGGTCATCTGGATTCCAGTTTGTGGAAATTACATGGAGTAAGTGTTTTCAAGATCCGAATTCACAATTAAGAGTTACATGTTTTTCTTTCAAAAATCAGATATAATTAACATTTTAAATATTAATAATAACATAATAAAACTAAACTAATCCACCCCTACTCTATATCCCCAATTCAATTTCTTCCTAACCCTAAATTCTATTTCCACCATACGATTGTGTGGTGGCAGTTAAAGTGGTAGTGGCGATGGTGAAGTAGTGGTGCTATTTGATGGTGGTGTTGGTTTGTTTGAGATAGTGGCGATGCTGGCGATTGTCGTGAGGTGGTGGTTCTAGCTATGATTGTGCGGCGGTGTTGCTAGTGTGATGTGGTGATGGTGGTGTTACAAAAATGGTGGCGGTGGCAATGGTGACGTGTGGTTGTGATGATTTTTGTTGGGGGTTATTGGATCTAGTGGTGGAGGCCTTGTTGTTGGTTGTGTTGTCGACGATGGTGGTGGTGACAAATGGTAATGGTGGAGATGGGTGGGCGACCAATTATTTAGTTGATTGTGACCAATAATTTGGTTAATTTGTGACCAATAAAATTTAAAAAATATATAATTGTGATTCATTATTTATTAAGTTGTGACCAAAAAAAAACTTGTGACTAATTAGTTGTTGGAAGTGGTGGTGGCTGGTGGATTGTGACCATTAATTTAGTATTCTGTGACTAAAAAATAACGTTTGATTGATAAATTGTGACTAATAAATAATATGTGACCTAAAAATTTGAATTGTGATTTATGAAAATTTTTATATATGACCGATGAACAAATTGTGACACATAAAATTTTTGGATTGTGACCATAAAATAATTTATGACTTATAATTTTTTTTATTTGTGACCGATGAACAAATTGTGACTATAAAATTTTGAATTGTGATCGTAAAATAATTTGTAACGTTTCATTTTTTATCTGCGATCGATGAACAAATTGTGACATATAAATTTTTTGAATCGTGATTGTAAAATAATTTGTGACATGTAAAATTTGTGATTTGTGACCAAATTATATGGAATTGTGACATTAATATATTTAATTGATAAAATATATGTTTAATTAATTAATTTAAAAATAAATTTTAAAAATATCTGAAATTTGAAATTTTAAACTTAAATTCTTAAATTTGAAATTAGTAAAACTAAACCTCTTAGTTATGTATTGTTCTCTTCCAGTTTACCTTTTTTTTCTCGAAATTTTGTTTTAGCTTTTTATAATTTCTTTTTTTCTTCAATTTAATTGTTGGTAATTTCCTTTTTATTTATTTTTTTAAAATTCAATTTTAATTTATTCATTTCTTTAATTTTTATTTTTGTTCTTTTTTTAATTTAAAATGTATAATTTTTAATTATTCATCTATTCAATTTATTTATTTAATTGTATAATTTTGTTGATTTTTTGTAATTTCTTTTTAAAAATTTAATTTTAAATATTTATTTTAAATTCTTATAATACTAATTATAGTTTAATGAATATCTTTTAAATTTATTTTTTTTCTTGAATTTTTAATTTTGTCGACCTTTTCTAATTATAGTTTAATGAATGTCTTTCTAATTATTGACTTACAATTTCGAAAATTATAAATTTTTTTCACTTATTTTATTTTCCATTAACATGTGAAATTTTGCATGATGGAGTACCATATTGACGTGATAAGACAGATTACAGGTAAAGTTATGTCGAAATGTAGCTATTCCAGCATTACGACCATATTAGAGTTGCTCGATGACAAGTACACAGATATGCTACGCCATTCTTGCCCATAGACCTAGTATCCATTGATAGATGTACAGTTTTCTTGGCAACTCCTGATGCATTACTATGCCAGCTGCTTAAGTCAGTCGACAATTATGCACTCTATTTTGATCTTAGGAGGCAAGGTAGCTAGATTCTCTCTATTTGAGTTTGCTCTCATCACTGGACTGAAATGTATAGGATGAAGAAACAAGGAGGGCCCTTATTCCGAGAAACAAGAGGCTGCTGAACGAATATTTTCATTAACAATCGATAGTAACTCCGGCACAGTTAGAAGATGCATTTAGGGCATGTGACTGGATGCTGGTCAAACTGAAGCTAGGCTTGGTGCTTATGTTTGAGATCGCACTAAGGCGTCATCATAAAAATTAAAAAGACATCGATTGGCATTTTTCATTTGGAAGTTGTAGATGATTTTGATGTCTTTAAAAACTATCCATGGGGTAGAAATATTATGAAGATACTCTATGCATCTTCGGGAGGGGCAATTCGATCATGTGACTTGTTCTTGACATTGCAAGCAAATGTTTAACATAATGAACATGAAATTTTTTTTTATTAAATTTATATATAATAATTGTAAGTGTTGCAGATATGGGTACATGAGACGTCCCCATCTTGGCTGGCCGGTATACGAGAAATTGGAAGATATGCTGCCCTCGAATGCATCATTGACGAGCATAAGACAAGACACTTGCCAAACAATTATCAGTTCTCCTTGATGATCTTGAGGTGAGTATTATACATTTGCGATTTATATTGTATGTTCTTTTAAAATCTCAATACATGATCATTAACTCAATGAAATGTCAATAATTCAACTTGAAGTTCTCACTGAGTTGATACTATTTCTATGGAGGATGAGGGTTGAAGTTATGTGCGTGAACTATTTATTCCGCCTGCTCAAGACGAATTGATGAATGAGTCCGTCCTAAATCGAGATAGGGTATGTTAATTGAATATAATTTGTTGATTACTGTTTTATGTTGTAATATTTTAATTAAGTTATTCATTTGTAATGTTCTTATTTGTATAGGAGCGCCACCTTGTAGATCAACCATCACCTCCGCCGAAGAGATCACCTTCGTCGAGGAAATCACCTCCATCGGTGAGATCACCTTTTCCCGCATCCAAACACCTCTTCGTAGATCTCGTGCACGTATTCATAGTACCTCAATCAATTGTTTGTTCGTACGTTCAATAACATTTATTAGGGAGGAGATATGGGAGCTATGACGGGGGATGAGAGGCGAGTAGCAGAGTTAGACATGACGTTAGAACGCTACGAGCCGATATAGGAGATCTTCATACTGAGGTCATAGGGCTACGAAGCAACTTAGTGGCAAGCGATATGGGTAACAGAGGGACTGGAGGTGCTAGTACCTGAGGGACTGGCGGTTCTCGAGATAGAGGAGATGATGATTCGTCGTGGCCATCGGATGCTGCATTCGAGTCATTTTTGACATCTATGGAGAGAAAGGTCTTAATAACGGAGGGCGTGGCCCCCATGGTGACAAAATCTGTGACCTACGAGATGGTAGAAGATGTGACAAAGGAGGTGGTGGAGGATGTGACGGAAAGGGTGGCAGATGATGAGAGAACGCCCAACACGACGGAGGATGTCATTTTTTTGTTGGAGGGGGCCTCAGTGGTAATGAAAGATAAGAAGCATGCTATTAACATTTCAGAACTGGTGGTTAACAAGAGACCAAGGTTGTTGTCACAGTACATCGTTTCTTCTTTCACGATTGAGGTGAAGAGGGGGACGTTCGTGCATAGAACGTTCCCCAATCTTTTCTGCGAGGTCGACCCTAATGGTTCAAATCCCTTAAGCCCGGGTAAGAATTTCACTAACTCATCTATGCTTTTTGCAACATTTTTTCTTTTAGTGATGGCCACACGATCAGGAGAAGATGATCTCAAACGCTAGAAAGTGGTTTGAAAATCTAACGACGAAGTCAACTGACTCGTTGATAATGTAAGTCTATTTTCGTTGTTATTTATAATGTTTACATAATTGGTTCTTGATTTAACTAAATGACTTTCTCCCATTTTTATTGGTGTTTCCTGTTGTAGTATATCGGCATGACTACGAAATTGTTAAGCGATCGGGCTCAAAGACACCCGATATCATTTAACCGAGTCATTCTGAGCACCGAGTTTGCACTTGCCGTTGGCATTAAGTATAGCACGCTCCTATTCTGGGGGAATGGGAACGTGGTGCTTCAGTACATGCTCGAGTAGGTTATAGGGTTGGAGTTGAATGGTGGAAAATCATGAACGGATTGTACACATATGTGCATTCCAGTGATCGCAAACTCACGCTGCTTTGAAGTTGAAATTGTATTCGCTGATTATATTATATATGTATACGACTCCGATCATAACTGTCTAATACAAGATCAATTGGAATAAATATTGGAGCCGATGGATGTGATCGTTCTCATGATGGCTAGAGAGGTTATGATTTAAGTGTATGACAAACTAGCCGTTTATGGGACAGGATAACGGTGAGACAAGCAGTATCATAAGTATTATAATTTTTTTAATTTGAAAACTTAATTT